AACTTTATTGTGGACTTACATGAAATAAATTATTTCCATCAAAGAAATGTTGGAAAGTCACAAAAATTGAAATCAAATTAGATACAACAATAAATTTCATTTCATTACTAATGGACATGACTGCTTTTCAGAAAATTCAAGTAAGCTGCTGTGGATTAAGGTGACTATACAAGTCATCATATTTAGTCTCATTTTCCATATCACTATTTTTCCCTTCAAAATTCATTACTTAACAGGAATGCACTACTGATGTTTCTGAAATAATCGTGTTAATCTGCTTATACCATTTTAATCTATGATCCTGAATACAGAAATATGAAAAACACATGAAGTCAAGGATCTCCCCTGGTGGCAGCTGTTGTTATATTGCTGTGGGATGTTAGAAGGATCAACGATTTTGAACAAACAAACTGAGTTATTTTTTCCATCTTCTGATTTTTTAACAAAATATACTGTAAAGCAGCTATTTTATCAATCCCAAAAGATTAAAATCATAGTCTAACTACCATTTAGATTCCAAGCAGAACATAACATTCTATGAGAGGGCCCAGCTCTCTCTGACATACAAAGTTAATTGCCGTGCTTTTTAAGAATCTTTACATATATGAATTTTATGAAGAAATGTGATTATAGGTACCTACTTTTATCAGGAATTAATCTTCTATTTGCTTCTTAGTCTGTTCCATTTGCTTCTTCATAGTTTATAGTCAGCCCTGTGCTTTCTCCCTACCCTGTTGGCTCCTGCTATGTCAGCACTCAGCAACTACTGATAATAATACCTATCTGAAACAATAAAAAAATACAATCAAAGATAAGAGCATTACCAGACTCTTTTGGGGGCAGTTAGGTGGCACAGTGGTTAGAGTGCTGGGCTTGGAGTCTGAAAACCTCATCTTCCTGAGTTCAAATCTAGCCTCAGACATTTACTCGCTGTGTGACCCTGGGTCAAGTCACTTAACACTCTTTGCCTCAGTTTTCTCATTTGTAAAATGAGAAGCATATGGCAAACCACTCTAGTATCTCTGCCAAGAAAACCCCAAATGGGGCCACAAAGAGTTGGACATGACTGAAAAATGACCGAATTAATAACAACCAATCTACTTCTCGGACCCAATTATAGTGCCTTGGTCCCCAAATCAGTCAATAAACAGGTATTTAGTGTCTACTATGTACCAACACTATTTTGTTTTATCATAGAGATTTGTCTGCAAGGGCCCACTCGGACAAAAAAGGAAGTATTGACAAATATATTTTTTCCTTTAATTTTATTGCACAGGAACAAAAGACAAGTTTTGATATAAATACCCATTAAACTGAATGCAGTCCATGAAACAGAAATTTTACTAACAATCTCATTTACTTGGATCAGGAATTAAGTCCTGGATATGTTATACAAGAAGGTTGTCATCTTAAGTGTTCACCTAACGACAGGTGAGCATAGTATATGTGAGCTGCCATATTTAGACATTCTCATTGTGACCCTTAAGTTCATCAAGAATTTTTGTAAACTGGGTAGGTTATTTGGGAAACTTTTAAATTTTTTAGAGCTAGGTCCTGATGAGTGCACATCATGAATCCCCTGTAGTGGTCAAATTATTTGAAATTGCACTGCATATTTCCATTGGGCAGGAATCAAGGACTGTATTTTACAGAGTTGTAAAATAGTACTTCAAATAGTACAAATTTGAATACATGCATCCACTTCAGGAGCTTCATTGTACTAATTAGGACCTAGTTGTATTTGCTTCTTGATTATAGGAGCTAACACAACAACATTCTTGGATCTCCCCAATATAATTGCAGCTACTTAAAGGCAAGCATTCCTTACTTTTCATATTTGTATTCCCAGTACCTCACACCATGTCTGTCTGTGAAGGAAACATTTCACAAATGCTTTGAGGATGTTAGTCAGAAGCTCTGGCTGATTGACTAATGCAGGATCAACCATTTTGAGCAAATAACCTCAATTATTTTTTTTATCTTCTGATCTTTTAACAAAATAGACCATAAAATAGCTACTTTCCCACCCTCAAGAGATTAATATCATAGTCTAACCACTATTTGAATTCTAAGTAGAATTCTAATCTACTCAGATACTTATTGAGTGATCCATCGAATCCCATTTTACCTGGAAATTATAGGGCTAAGCACGGACGAAATTCAGCTCTCTTAATTCAAAGCAATTCTGCCCTTCATTTGATGGTGACAATGAGAGACAGAGAAAGAGAGATTTTTCTAAGGGGTTCCTGTCATTGAGGAAATAGATACACCCTTGCATCTGTAAGAACTTGGCCAGTAGCGGTGGAGGGAATCTGTGTCCATGAAGTAGCTGCCAGCGGCTCATTGCCAAAACATATGCTTCATAAAAGGAAATGGAAAACCTCTGTTTTTACTGATGTGATTCTGAAGAGGAATCATCAACAGAAGCCACTGAGGTCTGGATTTCTTCTGGGTAGCACCAACCTTAGTACCTATAGCAACAGTAGTTATTGAAAGGAAATTACAACAACAGCAATTTCATATTTATTATCGTGCTTTGAGGTTTGCAAAACAATTCCATAGCCACTGTATGAGGTAGGTGGTCTGGAAGAAAAGGCTATGGTAAAACCTATTTCTTAAAACCATCTACAACATGCCTACAAGCACTATTTGAGAGGACTTCTTGGGAATGGTCTCTAACATAGAGTACTCCCTCTGAGGAATGTTTGGGAATGGAGAAAGGCCGGTTCTCGGGTTTGTCTCTGACTTTCCCCGTAAATGCTTAAAAACAGAAACACATGAAGAAAATAAACAAAACCAAAAAAAATGCCTAAATTAATTATGGCTATTGTTCACATGACCCATGGTATGGCTGCAAGAGCTCTGGAATCAAAAGTCCTGGGTTCACATTTCATTTCTATCACAAACCACTTGAGTCATCCTAGATAAGTTATATAACTTCTCAGGACCTCAGTTTCCTTATCTTTTAAGTGAGTGGATTGAACTAGATAACCTCTAAGCTAGCTCTATGTATATGATTTTATCATCCAGGTGAAATATGAACAAACCAATCATCATGAATTTTGCTTAAATTATACAAGTATTTGAATGAGTAGAAAAAATCCCACAGTATGATTTCAAATATTTTCTAATATATGTCTATGTATTTATAGAATGCTTTGTGCATTTATAAATATTAAAAGAACTTTTGTATACCATTTGAATCTTTCTGAGGTTGTGGGTAGGGTGGGGTACTATTTTTAGAGTTCCAAACATACGTTATTTTTAAACCACATCACAACAATGTAACAGCCTCTTTTCCCTTGGATTTTAATAAGCGCAGGAGACAGGCTTAATGAGGAATCAAAATGTTCTATTGGTATGGAAGAGAGGAAATCTAGTCATGGACCATGAGGACGAAGGGGAACTGACTTCCTTGGCATTTCATTCTGTGACTTAATTTTGTTGTCTCTTTTAGTTGGGGGACATCTTTCTCTCAGTCTTTGGCCCCTGATAGTCTTCAACCAAGAAAATGTGTACTTTTAAAAAATTTTAGAAACAACAACTAGTTGCAGGAATGTCATGGTTTCCTTTCTCAGATGTTCAAAACATTGTGTGACCATTTTTGACCACAAGAATTGTGTTCAAAAGAATTTTTAGGGCTCTGGAGTAAGGGAGAACACTGTACTTTGATAATAAGACATATATTCTTCAAACTTTGTGGTTTTCCTCATGGATTTTTTTTTCATTCATCTTTCTGTTTTTCCTTGAGAATGTCAAAGTGTATAAGGAAGAACTGTCGCTAATGAATCATGTCTAGGAAAGTAGTCCTAAGACACAAATTATCCATAGCCTATTTGAGCCTCAGTTTTATCCATGCCTTTTGATTCCTCAGACTATTGTTAAGTCTGCACCTGCCTCAAGCAGGGTCATTTCAATTCTCTAATTTTCTTTTTTTCCCCTCCCAATTCATCACTGGTTTCTATATTGAGTGACTCCAGGTGCTGGCATTTGGCATTATTCATTCACCTGGAATTTGCAGGGCGGTAATAGCTAAAGCACTCTGGCTAGCGCAGTATGGTGCATAGATCTATATGCTACATTGTGTGATTTTCTGAATATTTCTTTTATTCCATTATTGTCCCCTCCTAGCCTATAGTGTAATATTAAGGATGAAGAAAGATTCTTTTTCCTATTTATCACAGACTCAGTATGTGTCTATCCACCTCTGTTTGTTTACACCATGAATGCATTCAGCCATGGAACTGATCTCCTCCAGTGAAATCTATTGTTGTATCTCTGAAAGCTGTCGGTTTCTGAGCCAGATCAACTGAATACCCATTAAAATGCCCCAGAGCCTGGAAAAAATGCATGAAAATATTCATTTGATAGATTTTCGGTGTTTTATGTTGCTGCATTTGATATCTTTGCAAATCCAAGTAAGGAAGGCAAAGGTAGATGGGGATTAAAGACATGGCTGAGCTTAAAAAAAATCTAAATCAGGAAAGTGATTTTTTTTTGCTCCCATTTTGAGGGTTATGAGAGAGTGAATCTTTCTTCCCCCTCTTCCCTGCCCCCCTCCACATTCTGGTTTCTAGATAGAACTGCAAAAAAAGCTTTTGATTTAACTCTTGAATTTTTGGCAAGCTTAATAAAGGCCAAATCAAAGCTAAATCAGGGGTATTTACAGCATCCACAAATTTAATCTAAAGTGGATACTTAAAAGCTCATATAGTTCTAAATGATGTGCTTCCAGATGGTGAATTAATGTAATTTTAGCAGGAAGTGAAGTTGCACAAATATGCAGTATTTGGATCACTCACTGATTTAATGTTTCTGTCCCCACCATAGCCCAGATGTTGCTGATCATTTTAGTGCCAGTTGTCTCTACCTCTCCCCTTGCTGTGAACTGAGAAATCAAGTTTGGGAATTTAGTCAATTCTGGTTTATTTTATTACTAATTGTGTTAATAATGGAAGTTTGCTATAAGTTGTTTACAAAGATCTTCTTGTTTTGTACAGGGTTTGAAAGGTGACTTGGGTCCTCCAGGTCCTCGTGGCCAGAAAGGAGAAAAGGTATTGTATTTCCCCCAAGAAATGCTGAGCATGAATAAATGAAAATCTTTACCTTAATACACATATGCACACCCCTTTCCCCCCCTCCTCCCAGCAATTAATTTTCACTAGGAAAGTATTAACTGCCAAATGAATTCTGAAATTAACCAATTGCTGTTAAAATACAAGAAATACTTTTTGGATCATTTTAATATCTCCCTAAAAACAATTAACATGCTAGTTCACTCTCACTATCAACTTGTGTTGTTCTACAACAGGGTCATCACCTCAGGTTGCTTGACAGCAGTAGCTGTTATATCATCACACTAGGTGAAACCTCCCAAGGCAGCTGTGGGAATAGTGCCAGTAGCAATGAGGTGTGCGTCTGAAGGTGAAGCAGGTGGTTGTCAGGGTGAGATAACTAACTTTGCTCCACAGATTGTTCGCTCCATTTATCCCCACTCTTCCTCATTAACTATCCTGTAATGGCATATTGGCAATGACTTTGAAAGAAGAATGAAGAAAAATTAAAAAGCAAGCACTAAACTGAGCAAGGTCACTGGTCTCAACTTTTTAGACAGTAGCCATACAGTGGCTTTCTGATGATAATAGAATACATCTTCATCTTGTCTTCTATTCTCAACATTATGTTTCTTTCTAGAGTCCATGAGTTCTTCCATTTTAGAAGATAAATAACTTTAACATTTGTTCCCAAAGGCTGATTTTAAAGTGTTTGTTGTCTTTTACCTATAGCTGCGGGAGTTACTGTTTTACAGGGTCCAAACATGAACACTATATGTAGCTAAGAGTTGTATTATTCCTAATTTTGGGATATTACATACTGTGCTCCATCTTGCAAATAGGCCTTAGCCCCACTGTCTTTTTGGGGGTTACTATGAATGTCCAAATTGTGGCCAAAACAATGGAATGGCATCTGTTTCTCACAAGTGTCTATTATTGCAGTGCCTTAATAAATAGAATGAGAGCACTGAAGATGAAGAAAATAAGTTTGCTATTTATTGTTGAGATCAATACAATTCATCTTTTGCTCTTTCAATTTAAGTGATCCATTTTTCAGATACTCGAAGATATTCAAATATTTAAATGGATTATCAATTGAGAAGTCCTTCCAATGAGGCAGAGTACAACCTGTCAATTTCTCAGATAATTTGCACAAATTCCATGTATTTGTCTAGTTTTCTAGCTGTACCTGATTATCTGAATTTACTCAAAGGTCAATGAAACAAGTTCAATATTTGTGATTTGTATAGACTTGTGATGCTGCCTGCCCTGATATTCTTTAGAAGAGGCAGCAGGCCATCTTCTTGCAGCTGGGAGGCATGAAGTGGGTTGAGCTACTTATTATTTCTGCTGATCCTAATAGTAACTTTGCATCAGAAAAATTATCTGCTGCTGTGACATTTCCCAGCTGCCCTGTTGGCAAGCCACCAGGCTTGAAAAGATATTCATTCTAATTTTGGATTAGCAGACAAAAGATTAGAAAATTAGATTATTTTGGTTCCTTTGAAACCTGTCCTTCTGCTGTAAAAAGCATGTGGGTATGAAAGGTGATTTTTATATTGTGGGAGGGAGAAGCAACATAATACAATTTTCATGCTATACAATATTTTCTCGAGATGAGATCCTGTTTTCCATAACTGCAAAATTGATATTATATATGGTTATTGGCTCCAACCATCTAGAAGAATAAGAAATAAAATGTAAATAAAAGTTGGTAATTGTGATTTTGTTTTCCCCTTTTCATTGTTTTAGGGAGAAACGGGACCTCCAGGACCACCAACCTTAATCGTAAGCACTTGTAAAAACCAAAATACAAATTAAAAAAAAATAAATCCCCAAATATTTTCAACCAAATTTTTATCCACACTACACTACTACTACACTTGGAACTAGAATTATAATTTTTAGAGCTCCAAGTTACTGTGGAAATAACTTTATGGATAAGGTCAGCAATGCCCAAAGAAGGCAAGGAACTTGCCCAAAGTCACAAAGCTTGTTGGATGGTACCAGAGCAGGTACTAAAACCCTCAGCTTCTAATTCCCAATTCAATGCTTTACCTCTTATATTTTACCTCGTATTACCTCATATATTGCCATTGAGATTATTCTCACAAAAATGTTGCTGCAATTTAAAAACATTTAATATTATATTCAAATAGAAGCATCATAGTTTACCTTTGCTGACACAAAAATAAGTTTTACAAAAACAAAGATTTCAAAAAGTGAAAGAAAACTACTATGTAAACTATCTGATTGTTGCTCAGAATTCTAGGATATTTGTGTGGTATGTTTTTAACATTTGCAAATAAATGTACAAAACTACAGCATTTTGAAAAATAATTTATGAGAAACAGATAATGAATCTATAATGGAACTATTTTAGAACTAACTAGCTTATTATTTATTTATTAAGTATGGAATCATAATTATATAAATATTCTATTTGAGCACTGTTTATATTATAGACTTTCTGGGTCTTTAAAGGTTAATATTTAATTAAAAATTCTTGGTCTAAGAATGACTTATTCTGCCTAATTATAAAAGCAAAAGGCAATTGTTTGAATCAAGTTGTTTTTTTTTTAAGATCAATTGTAGCTATAATTTTTCTGATGCTGACAGTATTATTTATTCATTCAGTTTATAAAAATGGTGCCCTCTAGGTGAAAGTATTCAATTTAAAACAGTCAATTAATATACATAGAAAGAGCAGCAGCAGTTAATAGCACATATTAAATATTTTAAATTATCGGCTTCAAAGTGCCAGCCCATCAGGGAAGGTCAAGTTAAAAGAATGTCTTGTACTATTGTGAACTGGAGCTCTGTCACATCAGGAAAGGGCAGGAATTCCAAGGACTATTAAATGATCCTGTGACTTTGACAGAATTCATACTTCTGTTCTAAAGACCCATTGTGGGCTACACTCATTAATATATGAAACTAGTCTTTACAGCCTCTTGACATGAATGGCATGTATTTTTATTCATAGATGGAGGAACTGTGCTGAAAAATATGCAATGCACCTAGGGATTCTAAACAAATGAAGCTTTGGAGCTTTAAGTTTTGGTTTTAGGGAAGGCAATACAAACAATCCATTTGAGAAATCACTGTAAAGGCACATTATTTGAAGTGTAGATATTCAACAGAGTTAATTTTTCAAACAAAGCATTCAAATTTTAAATTACTGTAGTGCCCCTTTCTTGTTCAGTGTCCTTTTCAAGTTATTAAAACGAAATTTTACCCGCTATAGATTTGATAAATCCCAGAACAGAGTCAAGCTAGAACCTGCCTGGAAATCAAAAGAACAGTTTGTTATTAGAACTCTGGCATGACCAGAACAAGGAATAAAACATGCTGAAGAACTCCAGTTCCTATTAAGTTTTCACCTGTAATCCTTAGAGACTGGAGTTTAAGTTATCGTCATGATGAGCTATTAAGATTTGTACTTGTCCCTCAAATCCTATAACTTCTCCATGGCATTTGTGCATTGCTTTGTTAAAGAAAAAGGGTTTTGTGGTTCACAAAGAGGAGAAATACATATTCCAATTTAACAAGAACCTCTATGTGACTGAAGCACCTAGGGAAAGGACTTAACTAAATGCATATCACTCTGGTGGCTGAAACAGCTGGAATGAACTTTTTAAAACAAGGATAGATTATTTGATCTGAATACCTTACTTCAAGAATTACCTTAGGGGTTTGGTGAGTGGAATTGATACTCAGGTAACAAAGTGTGTATATGAAGTCAACTCACAAAAAATTAAAAAAAAAACCTTCTAGTTAATCCCTACAGGTGTCTCTCATGGGTGCTCTTTATAGCATAGTGATACAGGTGCAAATGGCATCAATGGAAGAATCACATTTATCTTTAAAACTCTCCAACCTCACCCCTACAAAATTTCCCCTCTCCCATAGAATTCATGAAACTTTATGATAGATTGATTTTAAGAGAGAACTTGGGAAATTAAGCCACTGCATGAAACTATGATATTTTTGATAGAAGCAATGCTCTAATGAAGGCTAATGGTTTGTGCTCGATATTATTCCAATTGTAGCGTGTATGTTATTTTTCTCATGACATTTAGGAAGTGAACACCAGAAATAATAAATTTTAGTTCCATGGTTTCTTGTCCATTGATTTTATTTTTTAAATAAATTTCTATTAATGCATTTTTATATCACCAACTTTCCACCCATGATCCCTTGGAACTATTCAACTAGCAGTCAATCAACTAGCATTTGTTAAGTACCTACTATGTGCCAGGCACTCTTCTCTACCCCCTTCCAGAGAGCCATTCCATATAATATAATGTTATGTGTGTGTAAATATATGCACATATATGGGAAAAAAAGAATGTTAAAGAAAATCAGCAAAGCTGATCAATACTTTGATAGTCTGAAAATATGTACAATGTCTATCAATTGATTTTAAAATTTTAATTCTGCATAAATATATTCTGCTTTTATTAAATACCTCTTAAAATTATTCTTCTGTATTTGTATCAATAGGTCCAATATTCAATAAAGTTCTACTATTTTGCTGTATGGTTTTTGTCAGGACACCGAATTAAGGCTTGGCAGGGATTGTTGCTGAAATGACATAGTTGGCTAAATTTCCCTCTATCTCTCTCTCTTGTTCCCACTTTGGCATCTACAGCTTAAGCCTGTGCATGTCCTGTCAGAGCAATGACAGATGAAGGAAGGTAGTGCAGCCATCTCTCTTGTAAAGTATATGAAAACTATTCCACTTGACACCTGATCTCTTGCTTTTAGTTCCCAGGAAAATGACTGTCCATCTATGTTCCTTTGGCTCTGTCCTTTTTGGGAGTTATAAAGTACTCATCCAGATGGCACCAAATGTTTACACAGAAGCCAAGGGTTAAGTCAGTCATCTGCAGAAGTACCTTAGACTTGCTTACCAAACAGATATTTGAAATGCCAGTTCTTGGAAGCCTAGATAAATCCAGCTCAAGTGAGAATTAGGCATGAGATGGAGCATAGCTTCCCCCCAGAGAAAATTGCATTACATACTACAAGTCTAAACAGGCTTGTAAGGCAACTCTTAGCTGTCATTCATGAAAAGCACAGAAGAGTTTTTAATTATTTAGATAGGAAAAACCTTGGCATGCTTTCTTTATAAGATGTTTGAGGCCAAGTCTATAGGGTCTTTCAGTTGTTTCAGAAAATACCCTAATCAAAAATAGCCCAAGTAATTATTTAAGGACAAAACAAATAATTTATTGACTTTTAAACTATTGAATAGCTCCTTGTGGTGCTACATAAATATTTTTGTAGCCCTTTTCCTGAGCATCTGTGTCACAATGGATATTTGGGGGAGGTGTCATGCTCTTTATCATTTAGTCAATCAACAAGCATTTTTATGTGTTTAATGTGGAATTTAAGTTGCCACCCAGAAGTCCAAGAGAACCTCTTCACTGAAGTGTAGAAGATTAAGATCAATTCCTACCCTTTTTCACCCCAAGGGACTTCCAGGCCACCTTGGTTCATAAGATCATAAATTTATAGACAGATGAAACCTCAGAGACCATCTAATTCAACTCGCTTATTTTATAGATGAGGAAAACAAAGCCCAAAGAGGTGGTTTGTCCAATATCACACAGATGTTAATTGTCAGAGTTGAGATTCAAACCCAGATCCTCTGACTCCAAATCCAGTACCCTTTCCATTTCCTCCTGAATGCCTTCCCATGAGGTAGTGGGGCATATTATACAAATCAAGTATGTGCATCAGAAACAAAACCACCAAGGTCACATACTCTAACAGTATTTTCATAACTGTAGCAAAATCTGCTTGATAGATTTTTTAAAATTCTATTGATTTATTCAGAAATTCAGTCAAAATGCTTTGCTGTGCATAATGTTTAAACAATAATTGTCTGAAGAGCAGCTGAAATGCTGAGTAATGCTTCTGAGCTCAAAATGGCATTTGTTGCATTTTCAAAGAGTATAACCCATAGGCAGTGAGGATGCCTACTGGATAGAATGCTAGTCCTGGAGTCATGAAGACATAAGTCCAAATCCTGCCTCAGACATTTGCTAGCTGTGTTTCCCTGGGCAAGACATAACCTCTTTCAACCATAGTTCTCTCATCTATAAAATGGCAATAAAGATAGCACCTACCTGACAGTGCTGCTGAGATTAAATGAGATGACATATGTAAAGCATTCTGTAAACTGTAAAATGTTACATGAATGCTAGCTATTATTTTCCCATGAGGAATACTTTTGTGGATTCAAGCCTATACATTTGCATGTTTAACATACATATACAAGCACAGACTTCTAAGAGTCATGGCCATTTAAAAAATCAAATTTAATCTATTTGAGACTCTTTCTCTCTTTGACACATATTAGTTTACATGCCATTCTTGTCATTCACTTGAATTTGGATAACTTCTATTAGTTCATAAGTGAATGAATTTATTTAATTCATTGTTAACATTCTGAACCTCATGATCCATCTCACCCTTTGGAATTAACAGAATTAATTTATTAACTCTCATAATAGACCAGTAGAATGAATGCATTCCTTCCTTTAAAACAAAATTGTACTTAACTGGCTATTTGCTTGTTGAGAAGGAAGGTCTGTACAAATAACTAATTGAGAAAAAGAGATGCAGTGATTATATTTTGGGCTATTTTTTATCATCTCTGTAAAACAGTGATACAGGAGTGCTTAAGACCTCTAGGAAGATTTATGTTTCAGCCTCAGAGAAGATTTATGTTTTGGAAAAACCCACACTCTGCTCAATTGACATGGAAATAATTTATA